AATAAGATAATTATATGGAAAATTCTCTTATTTTTCTCAAAACAGGACCTTACCCATGTCATACCTCTTTCGTCCAAATTCCGCAGTTCTTGCATCTTATTCGCTTGAACAGAACATCTTTCAGAGATTTACTGCCGTTTTTTTTAACCTTCCTGGACCCATTTACCCATTTTTTCAACGACGTCTCGCACTTTCCAGTTAATTTTACCGCATTTTTCCCCAAATTCTATAGTTGCCTCTACCAAACAGGCTAAATTGAGCGCTTTTTCGTTTGAATTTTACGGAAGTCTACTCAATTTTTACATTTTCACAAAATCCGCAAAAAAACTAACAACAACTCTAGTAGGCATGCCGGCCAAAAACCATGAAATTGCACTCGCTAAATCATAAGATCAACAGGTACAATGTTTCAATCAATAAGTGAAACTTACTTTGATTATGACTTGTGTGATTCTTCGACTTGGCCATTTCTCGCAAGAACAAAATACCTCCTTTACCGACGATCAAAAAAACTGCAACAAAATATTACCAAAAATTACGAACAATTTCTATGCAAAAAAACGATTGGGCCATGTTAGAACACAGCGAATATCGCAAAAGTGGTGGAAGAATCCGCTTGGACGCCTCCAGAGTAGAACGCCACAATCCTTTACAGGTTTTTAGAAAAGGCACCGGAAGAAGGCACATTTTTTATGGCCTAACGAGGTCCAGTCGTGGTGTTGAGCTAAGACGTATATGACTTAATGGACAATCAACTTATCATATAGTTAGTTCTTTCATATTAACTCTACTTCTACATTCATCCACACATAGTTCGCTCCATGCTTATCCCCCTTAATTTCTTAACATTATTTACATGCTACAATCAGTTGTGGTGTTAAGTTAAGACGTATATGACTTAATGGACAGTCAACTTATCAAATCACTGATATTTCTGAGTGAAACAGAAAGCTATAATAGAAAAGAATGAAAAAAGAGGGAAAAAAGGGGAAAGGAAGATAAGAAACGAAAATTTAGAAAATCTGTGAGATTATTAATAATTGGTAAGAAGATCATGCTACAATCAGTCGTGGTGTTGAGCAAAGACGTATATGACTTAATGGACAGTCAGCTTATCAAATCACTATTACTTCTGAGTGAAACAGAAATTTTTAATAGGAAAGAATGGAAAAAAGAGGGAAAAGAAGGGGGAAAGGAAGGTGACAAATAAAAATTTAGAAAATTTGTGGGATTATTATAATTCGTAAGAGTTCTGAAAGTCAAAAGTCAAAACCCCTCTTTTTTTGCAATCACTCTCAGTCAAAAACAACCGGAGTGGTAACAAATGCCAAAAGTGTCAACCACACGTTGGTAAAACTGTCGATGGCTACCTCTTTCAAGGATTATGTAATAAACAAAATGAGGGTAGGTTTGACACATGCTGGCATATGCTAGTACCAATTTACCATCGAAACAAAGGGGAAGACTGCCCCCCTTCCCCCCCCCCCTCC